TTGAATTTCGCTAGCTTGTTCTAGGTAATATGATGCCCAGAGATGATTTTGAATTTTTAAAAAACACATCAATTAAATTGAAAAAAAGTCAGTTGTTTCCTCCCTGGGTCTCCTAGTGCTGCTCTTGGTGGAACTGTTGTTCCTCTGGAAATAACTCAGAGTCTGTTTGGAAAGCTGGGAGATTCCTGCTGCTGTGATTTGTGTTATATAAATAAAGTTGAATTGAATGGAATTGGTAATTCCAGCTGCTTGACAAATAGTTTTAAAAGCTGGACGGGGACCTCCTTAGTAGGCATCCTCTCAAAATTAAGACTCACATTGGCCTTTTTACACATTAGGCTTCTCATAAAAAATGTTTTGCTGATTATTATCATTATCTGGTGTGAATTTGTAATGATTTCTTCACAGAAAAACTACAAATATGCATCATAAAGTTTATGTTTTTTAAGCATTAGGTGCAAAAACAAAGGGAACAATGTTCTGATTTGAACAGACGGATGGAATTAATCAGAAATTAATCATAATGAATTCATCATAATTAATCCGAAACAGGTTTTTATGGGTTTAATGTGATAACAAAGGGCTCACCATGCTGTCCAGATACTCGTTCTGATCGTCCGCCTCCTTATCGATGTCATAAGCCAGCTGTCAGAAACAGGAGATAGACTTCATTTAACCCATTTTCCAAAGGTTTTTCCACTATTTTCTTTCAGTGAAAGCACATCTGTGACATCTGATTAAACTTTATATAAACATACAGCAGCAGAAAGTCCAGATGATCTGGACCTGTTGTCACTTTAAGATACAGATTCAGCTTTTCTTTAACATATTTAACAGAACAAACTCTCTAAAATCCACAGTCCATTATAGAGCCATATTTCACTGGAACCAACTGCCAATAACCACGAAGAGTTCAGAACAGAACAAGCTTCAAAAATATTGTGTCTTCAGAACTACTGCAGATTATAAGATGAACTGACCTGTGTGTATATGATGTATAGTCCACTTTTGTTTATGTTTTTATTATTTCCTACTGTGATTTTTATTTTTATTTTTTATGATCTGTTTATAATGTAATATAATTTCTTCATGTGAGGACCCCAGGAAGACTAGTGGCCATTTATTTGGCAGCTAATGGGGATCCTAATAAAACTAAACTAAACTAAACTAAACAGATGAGTTGGATTTCTCTCTACATCCTGACAGCTATAAAAGTATTTCCTTAAAAAATAATCCCTCTTGATAGCATGTTAAAATGTCAGCCAAATATTTATTTGGGCATAACTAGCTATATTTGTTTAGTCCCACCCTTTACTATCAACATTTAACAGGATGAGATAAAGTAGAAAAGTCTGAGAACCGGTATATTTGCTAGCAAAACAGGTAAAAGAAGAGCAAAACAGGTGTATTTGTTAGCAAAACAGGTAAATTAGGAGCTGTTGTTGTTGTTTACACACAGATTTGAGTCTGGAGACTTTGGTTGCCAGGTTGTCCGCCAGCCGTTTGTTTTCAGCATCCAGCATGTCGTCCACAGATCCATGACCTGAAAACCCACAGACAGAAGATTAGAGTAAACGTACAGAAAACTTAGAATTATGCCGTATTTATGCTAATATTACACTATAGGCCTATTTCATCGGTCCTAAAAACCTTACAAAGATCCCACCTTATTTTGATCACAAGATTACAACCAAAGTACTAGATTGACTTTTGTTTTACAGCTAAAACAGCTGTCAACAGTTTTAATTTTTGACTCATGAAACACATCCATACTGCAATCATCTTTCTGCTGATTTGATTTCTTTTTATCTAGACTTTTACAATGATCTACTATGTCATGGAAAAGCAAAACAAGATAATCACACCAGAGAAGTAGTGTTGTTCATGTTTGTGGAGCTGAATGAAAGTCAGAAAATTCAAACTACAGTATATAAAAATGTGCCAACAGTTTCCGCCCTTCATTTTTTTTTTTTTTATAGCATGGCTGCAATTCAAACTTGCATTTTGCTGTTTAACATGAAGACAGACACTAAAAACACCAGAAGTCTTTATTTATCCAGTGTAGCCTGTACGTGTCAAACAGGTGATTAAATATCATAATAATTAATCTCCACCTCACAATTTAGTGTTGTAATTTTAAAAAAGTACTAGGTACTATACAGAGAGTTCTTCATTAAATGTTATCTGAAGAAAAGAAGAAAATAATCCACCAAAAACCCTTATTTGTCAATTCAATTTATGCATAATTGTCTTTTCATTAGTTATGGCATGTTAGCGTATTAGTGAATGCTGCTTATCTTTACTCTGAATTATCAACTCGTATCATTTAAAATGTAAATACATTTTAAATACATAAATACAAAGTGTTGTTATATGATTTTGAAGGAAATGTTTGTTGTTTGTTTACTAGTTACCAGCGAGCTGTGGTGAGTTTCTCACAGCTTTTTTGGGACATCTCCGACATTTAACTAATGTCATTCATAAAGAGACCAAGGAAAAACCTTAAGAAAAATCCTGGTCGACGGAATTTGTTTAACTTTTCAAATATGCCCAACGTTACCCCATAACAATATGTCCTCCTCTAAAAAGATTTACATCACTACAGTTAGCAAACAACAACTCTTTAAATGGAAGATTCAGTAATGATTTAACACCAGTTTGTAGATACTTGAAATACAAATTTAATATCTAGTAGTTTAAATCTTTCGGGTGCTAGAAAAACAAATCCTTAAGTACACAAGGATTTAGCTTGTTAGCCTTGTAGCTACGCTAAAGGTTTTTATTTCAGATTTGTGAAAAAATAAATAAAAATAAGCCGTCACAAAGAGTTAGGGTCTAATTCCAGTTACTATTAACCGTCATAAGTTTGGAGGATTAACTCTAAATTGCTGGAGACAATAAATTAATCGACATTTTAGCTGAATACGTGTCAGAAAACAGTACCTCTGTTCCAGTCCGCCATGTTGGAATGTGACGTCAGGATCAGTTGACATGAATCACGTGATCACAACAAGAAACAGGAAGTTGTGTACAACTTCTTCTTCTTCTTGATTTTATTGGCGGTTGGCAACAAACTTTAAGCAGCAATACCGCCACCTTAGGTTGAGTACAACAATTAGATAGCTTTATAAATAAAATAAAATAATAATAATAAAAATATATATATATAATAATAATAAAATTAATAGTAATAATAATAATAAATAATAATACTACTAAAAATACTAAATACTATTATAAAAAAACAGCATCTTTCAGATTTATAATTAAATAAATACGGTCAAAAAGTTTATTTATATGCAAGGCAAGTTTATTTGTATCACACATTACGTGTACAAGACAATTCAAAGTGCTTCACAAAGATTTAAAATTTAAAAGCAGAAAAACAAAAAAACTAAAATAATAAAAATTAGACAGATAAAAAGTGGAGGGTGCAGAAAAAATACATTCAATTTCCATATGCACAGTTAAACAGAAGCGTTTTCAGCCTGGATTTAAACATTCAGAGTTGAAGCCTGTCTCACATCTATATATACTGTATATATGTAAATATTTATATATATATATATATATGTATATATATATACACTGTATATATATATAGATATATGGTGGTGTGTAATGACTACATTTGACCACTGGAGGGCAGCAAACA